TGAAATCATCCGGAAAACACTCACTTGAAGCTTCTTCACCATTTAAATTTTTGAAATTGTTGACAACGACAAATGTAATCGTCGAGATGAAATTTAATAGGTACTAATCTTAGCCTGTGATAATTTCCAAGTTTTAAGTTATCGGCATAATGGTCGACAAGAAACGATAAGGAATGAACTAGTGTGAAATCAGTAAAAATGACTAAAAATTTAAGAAAATGACTTTAAAAGTAATAAATACTAAAAAATGCAAAATTAGTTATTCAGATTCACATGCTTATGAAACAGATTTGTAGCCAGGAGAGCATCGTCTAAAAAGCTCCAAAAAAAAATGCAAAATGCATCAACTTCCGAGTCCTAATTATAATGATACTTATTTTTAATTACAGCAATTATTTCACAAGTCTTTCAACACAAATCCATACTGTGAAAGTACCTTCAAACAATTTTAGTCAATCTCCTAGTTTAAAATTTATAATGACTTTTCAAAGGCTTTTAATAATGTCAATTTATCGTAAAAAAGGAAGTAAAGATGATAAATGCCATTGTGAATTGGGTAATTATAGATATATTTGTATCATCCAAATTATTTTATTTTGTTTATACATTTCATTATGAATAAAATAATAAGTTCATTAACCTGAACCTTATATTTAAATATAATAATTGTATTTATATTTTATAGCATAATTTAAGAGCATAAGAAAATATTTTATCATATATTTATCTATTTTTTAAATGGCTCTTTAAGGTATGGATGATCAAGGTGCTGAAATGCTGCTTTCAAAATATTTAAGTAATTTTGTCAAACGATCCTGTCAAGCTCTTAGATTAGCAAATCATGTGGCATCTCTAAGTTTTAAGCACTATCAAATTATCACAAAAGTTATAAATGTGACTGGATTTGGTATGATGTTWAATTTAACTTCTCATTATTTAGTTTTAATATTTACCTTTTTAGACAAGTTATTTATGGAGCTTTTAATAAGCTTAATTATGGTCCATCAAAAAAAACCTCTGTTTTTACGGGATACAGATTGGTTTGATCTTTTCATACCCTTACTTAACGCTTTGGATGCATTCAACTTGATGACCCCGAATTTAGAACGTGAAGAAGATGATAATTTGTCCTGGCCTGGATTTTCAAGTAAGAGTATAAAATTAAACATTGTTTTTAGTATTTAATAATTCAATTAATAAAAATTACAATATATTAACAGGTTATACTTGTAATACATGGTATAAAAATGTTGAAGATGTCATGTTGATTCGAAAACCTGATCTTGAAAATCATAATAGGAACGGAGGACACTGGGTAGTGTTTAATAAAAAAGTCTATGATATACAAGAAACTAGGTATTTGCTGGTTATTTTTATTRTATTATTTTTACTAAAGTTGTTGTTAACAATATCCAGATCTAGTGAAATGAATTATTCATTTGTCACTATGCTACATTCATCATCTATTTATGAACATGTACTAAGTGAAATGCCCAAAGAAACTTTACAGTCCTGTTTTGTTGGAAATTATTTGGATCCAGATGAAGACATAGTTGAAGTGAGTAATTAATATGCATTATAACTATCTTATTTTAATATAATATATTAAAATACATTACATATTTTGTGCAGCCTATTGAATCAAATTTGACTGAGCCGCTCCTTTTAGACATTCATCGAACTCTTGGTTACTTGTTGGGGCTTCATGCTCATTGGTTAACTACTTTATCCCAACCTCATTGTAGTTATCAATGTTTTAAAATTTGGTTTCCTTTATTACAAGCCGGTATTGATGATAGTAAAAATAATAACTATGTGAGTAAAAAAATAATTTAAAAACAAATTTGTATTTAATACTATTTCTTTAATTAGGACGAATGTGCAAAAATGTTAATATTAACATATAAGGAAAGTTGTAAATCTGTTGATAGTCAGATTCAATATGGACCCGATCACCCTGTTGAAGAAAT